CAGAGTCCTTTAAAATCTCTGACTCCCCACCCCTGGGTGCTGGCACCATTTTGGGGCTCAGCCCATTTGGCTTTCAGATGACCTGGTTTGCAATTGCTACTGCTTTCGGCCTCCTGCATTCCGCTTTCAGCGACCCTAACAATGATGTCTTGTGCTTTGTTCAAGTTATGTTTCTTAAAACTGAAAGTGTATCTAAAATGTCTTCATAAAAGTCCATCTAAGCAATGCTGGCTGTTTGCTTTTTTGTTCATTATTGGAAATTGAGGTTTCTGAGTTCAAAGTTCAAATTAAGTTGAAAGAAATTGCATGGTTTTGGTAATAGCATGTATAAGGTATGGAAATATATTTTGAAGGGAAAAGAAAGTGAACTGTTCTAAAGCTGGTTGTTGCTGAATGAATAAAAGGAGTTGGGAAAGTTGTAGAGAGGTTTGTGAATGTTACAGAAGGTTTGTAAAGAGAAATGTTAAAAGGAAGTTATAGAAATGACGGGCCAAATTGAAACTGAATTTAATACAGTAAATACTGTACATTGCTCTTAATTTGACTCTTTAATAAAAATGACGGTGATTTTAGGGGGAAATGTGTTTCAATAGACTCTAAATACAGTTATCAATATTAGCCTCTACTTCAATTAATTGTCTTCAAAGTTTTATTTTTCACCTATGAGTTGAACTGGATCCTGAATTTTTCTAGTGTTCTTAAATATTTGACTACAACCCTCCAAACCAATGTTTCATTTTTCTCCAATCCTTTGATTTGGAATTAGTGAGAACTGAATGTTTTTTTCCTCCCACTAGACCATTTTTCATAATTCTTTTTTTTAAAATATATTTTACTGATTTTTTACAGAGAGAAAGGGAGAGGGATAGAGAGTTAGAAACATCAATGAGAGAGAAACATCGATCAGCTGCCTCCTGCACACCCCTTACTGGGGATGTGCCCGCAACCAAGGTACATGCCCTTGACTAGAATCAAACCTGGGACCCTTGAGTCCGCAGGCCAATGCTCTACCCACTGAGCCAAACCGGTTAGGGCCATTTTTCATAATTCTTGTCTTTCTAGCTTTTGCCCAATAAAATTTTTTAATAATATTTTTTATTAATTTTTAGAGAGAGGGAAAGACAGAGAGAAATATTGCCCAGGCTGGGGAAGAGGCCATAACCAAGACATGTGCCCTTGATCAGAACCAAACCCGGGAACCTTCTGTCCATAGGCCCATGCTCTATCCACTGAGCCAAACCAGCTAGGGCTGCCCCAATATGATTTATAACAGGGATTGTCTCCACCAGGTTACAAGCCCTACTCATACTCAGGAAATACCATCTCTAGACACCTCCTTCCCCGCCCAGGCCTCATCGCCCCACTGACAGAGAGCAAGGATCTCTTGGCTCTGAGGTAAAACGTCACCCCCTTTCAGCAGGAAGCAGCTACAGAAGAGACCCTGTGCCCCCTTTTTCAGAAAGAATTCAGAGGCAAGGTCCTTGAGGGGAGATATTGTAGGCAGTCAGACAGACATGAGCACAGTAAGGAATACGGGCCAGGTACTAGAGGTCACCAGGGTGGAAAGCCCCAGGTGCCTAGCAACGGACAATGGACAATCGATTGTAGGGTTTGGACCTTGCCCTCAGAGTGACTCTACCTCCCCTGGCCTATCAATGGTCATGTGGCTTGGACCCCCCTCCCTAGAGATAACATCTAGGCCTCAGTTGTTATTTCAGCTCCAGGACCAGCCGTGTTGAATAATGACCCCCTGCCCTGGTGCCGGCCAGTCAATCAGTGGAGACCACAACCCTTAAAGGACACGCCTGGAAAGCTGCTGCATATTTTAGAAAGATCTTCCCCTGGGACCTCCCCTAAAATCTCCACCTTTAAAACCCTTAGGACGGAAGACCTGTGTGCTCTCCCTCCTGGGAGCACACCTGTGCCTTTCCCATTTGCTTTCCCTTTCCCCACCCCCCTCCTGCCCCGGGCACCTTACATTACCTTCCGCACTACCTTCCTCACTCCCAAACTCAACGCCCTTCCTTTACTTCTCTAAATTGTTTCCTAAGCCCATTTCATCTAGGAATTACTTCTTCCACCTTTGTGATTTTCCAAATAGCTGTTCTCTTACAAACATAAATGAGTAAATAAATGTATAGATTTTTCTGGAGACTCGAGGAGCTCTCAAAAGGGGCCAAGGGTGTGAACATTTTAATTCAAGATATTTACCATCAACAAAATTTGAGAAACAGTATAATGGGAAAAATAGACCAGTTATAAAAAAAGTTAGCCACTATCTATTGCCTCTCTCCTCTATTTCTCTTTATATAAAAATCTTCCCTACATTGCCTGGAAAAAAGAGCCACTCTGAGTTTTATACCCTCCCACTCCCCCCCCCCCCCCCCACCACCACCACCCTCCCTACACATACACACACACACACACACACACACACTTCTAATAGGCCCAGAGACTAAACAAACACCCTCAATCACAAAGTGTTCAGGTGACAATCCTGACCAAAACCACAAAATTCCCTCAGAAATCAAATACCCTCTTTGCTTCCTCCCCTCAACTATGACTCATCTGTCAGAATTACACTGCGATTGGAACACTAACATTGAAACGGGCTAGTACACCACCCCAGACAGTACCAGAGGCCCAACGGGGCACAGTCCTAACCTAGGACCTCAGACTCCCAAAGTCAGAAAATGCCAGGAGTCAGACACTCCCCCACACAGCCCTCCGCACAGCAGGGCAGTGTGTGCCCGCGTTCTGGAAGCTGCGCTGCACCTAAGATGGACTTTGTCCAGGAGCGCCGGAGACAAGGTGCTGAGAGCCGATTACTGGTGACGTGACCCAGGAAGCACGGGCGGGAGGGAGACAAGGTCAGTGGGGCCAGCCCAGGCTCGCACACGCAGGGCAGCGCTGGGGCAAAGGAGGCCCTGCCTGCTGGAGGTTTCTGAGGCTGAGGAGAGCGTGCCTGTAAGGTGTCCCTTCTGAGGGTAAGAAACAGTGTTAACCCCAATTTCTCTCTGCCATTGGCTGAGGCCTGCCCCAAGGGTCAGTAGCTCCCTGGCGCTTCAACCTGCTCTTCACACAGGCTGCGTGCATGCATAGCCAGCAAAGCCCCTGGGCAGCGACCCCCATGCTTGTGGGAAGAAGCCATTGAGGTTCCTCAAAAAATTAAAGCAGCCCTGGCTGGTTTGGCTCAGTGGATAGAGCGTTGGACTGCGGACTAAAGGGCCCGGATTCAATTCCAGTCAAGGGCATGTAACTCAGTTGCAGGCTCAACCCCTGGCTCTGGTTGGGGGCCCATGCCGGAGGCAAGCAATGGATGTCTCTCACATCGATGTTTCTCTTCTCTCTCTCTCTCTCTCTCTCTCTCTCTCTCTCTCTGTCCTCCTCCCTTTCACTTTCTCTAAACCTCAATGGAAAGATATCCTCGGGTGAGGATAAACATAAAATAAAATAGAACTACCATATGATCCAGCAGTCCTGCTCCTGGATAACTACCCAAAGGAAAGGAAATCAGGGTCTCAAAGACACTGCACCCCCATGTTCACTGCAGCCTTATTCACAACAGCTAGGACATGGCAACAACACAAATGTCCACCAACAGATGCACATGGCGCATACATACACTGGAATAGTATTGTCTTTAATGAGAAGGAAATCCTGCGCTAGCCTGTTTGGCTCAGTGGATAGAGCAACAGCCCGAGGACTGAAGGGCCCCAGGTTCAATTCCCATCAAGGGCATGTACCTCAGTTGCAGGCTCAATCCCCACCTGGTCAGGGCACATGTGGGAGGCAACCAATCGACGTGTCTCTCTCGCATTGATGTTTCTCTCTGTCTCTCCCTCTCCCTCCCACTTTCTCCAAAAATCAATGGAAAAGTATCCTCCGGTGAGGATTAACCACAAAAATAAGGAAATCCTACCCTTTGTGACAATATGGGGGGCCTGGCAGCATTATGCTAAGTGACATAAGACAGCCGCAGCGTTCTTTCGGACGGCTTCTGTTATATGAGGCCCCTAAAACAGTCAAAGGTATAGAAGCAGACCACAGAACGGTGGTTACCAGGGGAGGGGCCGGGGGACACAGGAAGCTGCTGTTCAGTGGCTGTAAAGTGACAGCGACACAGGCACGTTCCCGAGCTCCGCTGTACCACGTGGCGCCTGTGTTAACAATACGGTGCTGTGCACCAAACGTTTGTTAAGCAGGTAGGTCTCATGCTAAGTGTTCTTACCGCATAAATACAAGAAAAGACCACTAAAAAGCAAAGGGATACATTTGTGGAGATGACGGTTTATTACCTAGATTATGTCCAAACTCATCAAATTGTGTGCGTTATGTGGTGTTGCAGGCCGATGATAGCTCACTGAAGCTGGGTCGGAGCATGGGCACGCGCGGCAGGTGAGGCCTGGCTGTGTGCAGCCGCAGGCTCTGCTAGCCGCAAAGCCCTGCCTGTTGCCTTTGCCAAGGTCTGCAGTGTGTGCATCCTACCACAGCCACAGCCAATTCCAAGGTGCGGCGCGACATTGCTCGAGGCAGTTAGGGAGAGATGGCACAGCTGGCTCTCACGTGTTGATACAAGACAACTCTAGCACAGATCTGGGCAAGGGCATGGGCAGGGCACCCAGCACCTCCCATGGCTACAGCCGAAGTGCTTGTTACAGACCTAGGATCTTACCATTTTATGTGACTTTCCCACTCCCTTTGTGATGTGTCCATCGTTAAACACCTTACCTTCTAGAATGAAGCCAACACTCACACACATGAGTGAGAAACGGAGAATAACTGGGTCAGAGCACCATCTGAGCTCTCAGCTCCAGCTCTGCCTGAGGGCACCTCCTGACTTTTACATGAGCCCATCAAACCCCTTTTTAGCTGAAGTCCCTTTGATTTGGGATTCCAGTCACTTGCGTCCAAAACACTGTTGGCTGATTTATAGATCTGAGAGCAAATGAGTTGGACTTTAGTACACACCCAGCCAGCTTTGTTGCCTGGAGCCTAAATAGAGTTCAGTGTAGAAGAATCGTTTATTGGAGCCCATCCCTCTGGGGGCTGAGAATGAACGCCAAGCAGAACTGGTCTTTTCAAGCTGGCCAGACGCACAAAGAAGGTCACTTCAGGATCCGGATGCTCATCTTCTGCTCAATGTCCATCTTCTCCAGGGACTGGTGGAGATGGGTGGTAGTTGAACTCCAGCCCTCTGTTCTTCCAACTTCCTCTCCCATCCCCAAGGCCCCCTGGGAACCCCTCTCTTTCTGCCCTCCTCCTTCAGGCTTCATTTCCCATGTCCATCTGTCCTAGGAACTCCTCAGGCCCCAAGGGCATTCTGACCTTGCTGAACTCCATGAAGGACACAGCTCCATCCCCGTCTTCATCGGCCTCCTGCACCGTGCGGTCAGTGATGCTTTCCAACTGCTCTTCTGTCACCTGTACCCCAACCATTAGCCGGAGTACCTGGGAGGTGGAGGACGAGACGGCCATAAAGAGGAGGCACAGGGACTACTAGCACCCCCCCAACCTTGTCCATATCACCCCAAAAGTCATTAACAATTTCATAATCCACCCCTCATCCTTTGTTCACCCCATTCCAATCACTGCCCACACATCCACCAATAGTGTCCCCTACTGCTTCTCAATGTAAACCCTCACTATCCCTCATTCACCCAACAGTATGCCCAGGCCCATTACTCAACTGCAGTCTCAGAACCCAGCCTCCATCCCATCCTCCAACCATTCCCAATCCCCAGTTTTTCAATCTCAGCACCATTGACCTTTGGGGCCAGATAACTCCTTGCTGGGGGGGGGGGGGGGGGGGGCCCTATCCTTTGGTGTAATGTTTGGCAGCACTCCGGACTTCCACCCACAGACGCCAGTCCCACCACCCCCTCCCCAGTTGTGATAACCAAAATGTCTCTAGCTATTGGCGATGATGTCATTCAGGGGGCAAATATCACCCCCAGCTGAACCACTGATCTATTCCCAACCTCATACCCAACTGCTTCCCCATCTCTCAACTAACCCACACTCCAACCCCACAGTCCCATGGCCCAGGCCACACTGCAATCATCGGCATCCCCAAACCACCCTCCCTGCTCCCCACAGCCATTCCATTCAACCATCCCCCCTGCACACGCCACATCTCTGCTCCTGTGTCCTCCCGACCTGTAGCATCTCGTGCCTGGAGATCTTGCCATCTCGATCCAGGTCGTAGAGCTGAAATGCAACTGGGAAGGAAGTGGAGGGGAAGGAAGGTGGGTTCCCTTGGTTCTCGTCCAGAAGATCACGGAGGGGCGGGGAGGTCATAAGGGGCTCACAAAGGGAGTGGGGGTGCCTGGGGCCCTCGCTGGTGTGGTACATCTGGGGTCTCACTTGGGGGGACCCTACCAACTCACAGCGAAGTTTGTTCATTCTGCTGTTGGGGGGTTCGGGTTCCTTGGGGTCCCGGGTTCCTGTGTCATCATCTATAGGTCGGAAATGAGCCAGGACTCTGGCAAAGTCCACAAACTCCACTCGCAGGCTCCTGGGAGGGTGGGGGAGGGGCAGTGGTTGCCTTGACCCTCCTTCCGCCCCCATCCCTAATCTCCCAAACTGTTCTCCCCCACCCATTCTCCCCCACCTACTCACCCCCCAATCTCCCCCACCCACTCACCCCCAATCTCCCCCACCTTCTCCCACCCAATCTCCCACCCACTCACCCCCAATCTCCCCCACCCCTTTCTCCCCAACCAATCTCCCCACCCAATCTCCCCACCATTCTCCCCCACCCAATCTCCCCCACCCACTCACCCCCAATCTCCCCCACCCATTCTCCCCCACCTACTCACCCCAATCTCCCCACCCATCTCCCACCTTACTCACCCCCAATCTCCCCCACCTACTCACCCCCACTCTCCCCACCCAATCTCACCCACCCACTCACCCCAATCTCCCCCACTACCAACCATCTCCCCACCAATCTCCCCACCTACTCCCCCCAGTCTCCCCACCAATCTTCCCCCACCTACTCACCCCCATTCCCCACTACTTCACCCCCAATCTCCCCACCCAACCTCCCCCACTACTCACCCCCAATCTCCCCCCCATCTCCCCCACCTACTCACCCCCCAATCTCCCCCACCCAATCTCCCCCACCTACTCACCCCCAATCTCCCCCACCCAATCTCCCCCACCTACTCACCCCCCAATCTCCCCCACCCACTCACCCCAATCTCCCCTCACTATCCCCCCCCCAGCCCCGCCCCCAAGGCCACACAAGCTTTCCCTCCATCCCCCTCACCCATCAGGGAAGAAGCTGTCTATAATGCGATCCCCCAGGGGGTTCACGGCCAGCGCCCCGATCTGCTGCAGGTCCACTCGGCTGGAAAGGAAGTTCCAGGTGGGCAGGGAGGGAGGGAGGAGACGGAAGATTGGGGGGCCCAAGGGGCACGGGAGGTCACAGCCCGCCCCCCCCCCCCCCCTCACCTCAGGTAGCCCTTCTTGTTACTGTCCAGGGCCCGGAACCGGTGGTAGAGGCGGAGCAGGGTGGCCTGCGAGACTGAGGGCGGGAGGGCGGCGGGTGAGGCCGGGGGTTCTCCGCGCCCCGCGCGCCCCTAGGGACCCCCGGGGCCACGCCACCCTCGCACCCGGGCTCGGAACCCGGCTCCGCGACCGGCCCCCGCCCGCGCCCCGCAGCCCGCGCCCCGCTCACAGCCCGTCTCCCGCCGAATGCGGTCCGCGTCGGGGATCTGCGCCGCGCGCGAGCCGCCGGAGCCCATGCCGCCTGCCCGGACGCGACGCTCTGTCCCCCGCCCCGCGGCCGCCGGTGCCGGGCGAAGGCCACAGGCCTGGCGGGGATCCAAGCTCCGAACCCCGCGTCCCGCCTCCCACCGCGACCCGGCGAAGGGAAGGCACCGCCCTGAGCCGCGGCGGCTTCATTCCCAGGTGCGAGGTCGGCGCGGGCGAGGCCGGGTCCCGCCCGCCCCTCCCGGGCCCGCCCGCCCCTCCGGGTCCCGCCCGCCCCTCCGGGTCCTGCCGCCTGGGTCCGCCCGCCCCTCCCGGGCCCGCCCGCCCCTCCGGGTCCCGCCCGCCCCTCCGGGTCCTGCCGCCTGGGTCCGCCAGCCCCTCCCAGGCCCGCCCGCCTCTCCGGGTCCCGCCCGCCCCTCCGGGTCCTGCCGCCTGGGTCCGCCCGCCCCTCCGGATCCTGCCGCCTGGGTCCGCCCGCCTCTCCGGGTCCTGCCGCCTGGGTCCGCCAGCCCCTCCCAGGCCCGCCCGCCTCTCCGGGTCCCGCCCGCCCCTCCCGGGCCCGCCCGCCCCTCCGGGTCCTGCCTCCGGGCCCGCCCGCCCCTCCGGGTCCTGCCTCCTGGGCCCGCCCGCCCCTCCGGGTCCTGCCGCCTGGGCCCGCCCGCCCCGATCCGCGTTCCCACGCTCCGCCCCGCCGTCCGGCCGCCTCCCGCGGGCCCAGCCCTGCCCGCCCCGGCTCCCGGGTGCCCGCGAGAAAGGCTGGGGGCCCCGACCTTCTTCTGCGCACAGAACACAGGTCCCTCTGGAAGGGGGAGCGGCTCCCAGGCAGCAGGGCCGGAGGGAGGGTGTGGAGGGCGCCCAGAAAGGGGGGAGTGTCCCGAGGCGCAGGTGGGCGCTGGGTTCAGTGGAAAGCGCTGCATTTGGGCACTTGGACTGAAACGCAGCTGTGCGACTTGGTGCATCTCTTTTGTTCGGTCCACATACGTTGCTGTTGTTTCATTGAGTCAATGCTTTCCAATCAGGAGGCTGAACCAAACCAGATCCCAGCTTCTCCTGAGAGACCAGAAGCCTGACACCTCAGGCCCTCGCTGCTGCCTGGCGCCCCTGGGTGCAGCTGGGAGCGCTGTCCTGGTGCTGCAGTCCCCACCCAGCCCAGGCCACGCCCTCTGAGCTCCAGGGGGCTCTAGATGCCCCAGATGGGACTGACTCAGACCTCTGGCCAGCCTCAGAGATGATGGGAATCCACACACTCACTGTGATGTGTGAAAGAACGCGTGACAGCGACAGCACGGCTCTCGGGTTTCCAGCGCGCTGCTTGTGCCAGGCACTCTGCTCAGCGCTCGACTGCATTAGCTCACACACGCCACAGCACCTGCTGAACTTGTTTCCCTGCTTTTTGAAAATATATATCTTTATTGATTTCAGAGAGGAAGAGAGAGAGAGAGAAACATCAATGATGAAAGAGAATCATTGATGGGCTGCTTCCTGCACGCCCCCTACTGGGGATGGAGCCGGAAACCTGGGCATGTGCCCTTGACCCGAATGGAACCGGGACCCTTCAGTCCACAGGCCCAAGCTCAATCCACTGAGGCAAACCAGCGAGGGCTGTTGTCCTGCTGTCCTGTGGCGGAGGCTGCCCAAAGAGCCAGATGTGAACTATTGTAAAGCATCGGTGGGGAACCACATGGCCCCCACGGGGGCCAACATTTTTTATTCTTATGTATGGAGCACAGGTATACATACAGTCCATGACTAGATGGATAGTATGTCAGTCACGTTACAGCCTCTAAGGAGACGGGTAATTAAGGGGGGAAACTGTTCCTTACATGGGGGCAATAATGAAAAAAGAAAGGTTGAGAAACTTGGCTGTAAAGAACAAGCACCCCAGGTGTCCAGTGGGACTTTATCCTTCCCCGCCCTCCCCCCATCACAGTCACACATATACACATTCCCAGGGGCCGCTCATTACCGGGGTTCAAGTTCACACCCTCCCTGGAGGGAGAGAAGCTGGAGAAACAATTGAAGCTCCAGCCCCAGGCAGAGACTTGCATCAGAGAAGCCTTGAAAATATTGATCTAAGAAGTGCTTGCTTCTCTTGCTGGTACCCCAAGGATTAAGCAACTGGCAGAAGGAATGCTTGGTTCTCTCTCTCTCTCTCTCTCTCTCTCTCTCTCTCTCTCTCTCACACACACACACACACACACACACACACACACACACGCTGGAAGTGCAGTCAGGTTAGGTTCTGAACCAGGAGGGGGTATGGGTCCCTGGGACGTTGCAATAATCACCTCAGGCCAGCCAGCAGGGATGCTGATCTTGGAAAGAGCCCCTACAGCTATAATCTCTGAGTCAGCGCCACGTTAAGGAAACCAGGCCAGAGAGTAATTAACCGCTCCCATCCCCACGCCCACAGAAGACTTGCTGGGACCCACTCCTCTTCACACACCCCAGGAGGATTTACATCAGCTGCACGATATTCGTAGCCATATCTTTTCGTGGCATTGAAAGGGGAGATGTTTGGGGAGGATTCATCCACAGAACCAAATGGACTGGATTCAGGCTGAGGTTTGTTTTTTTGCTTTTTTTAAAATATATTTTATTGATTTTTTACAAAGAGGAAGGGAGAGAGATAGAGGGTTAGAAACATCGATGAGCGAGAAACATCGATCAGCTGCCTCCTGCACATCTCCTACTGGGGATGTGCCCGAAACCCAGGTACCTGCCCTTGACCAGAATCGAACCTGGGACCTTTCAGTCCGCAGGCCGACGCTCTATCCACTGAGCCAAACCGGTTTTGGCTGTTTTTTTGCTTTTAAACTGTATAAAATGTGCTAGCTGTTCTCAATGAAGGAATGCTAAGATTCGAATGGGGGGAAATGCAGATGCAAGAATAGTCAGGAAAATATAGAACTCTTACAACTCAACAACAAAAAAGACAAGTATCCCAATTATAAAAAATGTTTTCATTGCTTTGTTTTTTAAATATTGGTCCACCTGGAACTTATATAAATCTCAAACATTATAGATAGTTAAGCAAACAATGCAAATCTATCAAAAAGAACTTTAAAGCTTAAAGAGCTTTGAAAGTTCTTTAAAGTTCAACTTCTACACTTGATTTTAGCCAAAAGGCCGAGAAGCGATAAAAGTTCAACTTCTAGAAATACAGCAGAATAAACATTCTTCTTTACAAGACTTTGAAGAGTTTGACTGAATTTTGAAATTATCATAGTGTGGTAAAGTGGATTAAAGAGGCAGAAACCAAAGCCATGTGACCTTGTCTTCCAACATAAATAATGTCAGTTAGGAAAAATGTAAATTATTGAGTGCCTTCGGGTAGATAAATACTTTTACCCAGTTCTCATCTGGTATGTTATAAAGTGGCACATTCCAAATATTAGTATATGCAGAGAGCACGCCTTTCCTAACCATTATGTCCATAATAGAGGCCCGATGTACAAAGTTCGTCCACTCGGGGGAGGGGTCCCCTCAGCCTGGCCTGAGTCTGAGAGCCCTCAGGGGATCCAACTGATGGCTTAGGAAGTGGGCCTAAGCCCACAGTCAGACATCCTTAGGGCTGCTGGGGAGGCAGGAGAGGTTCCCACCACCACTGCTGTGCTCGCCAGCTTTGAGCCTGGCTTCTTGCTGAGCGGAGCTCCCCCTGTAGGAGTGTACTGGCCACCAGGGGCAGCTCCTGCATAGAGCATCTGCCCCCTGGTGGTCAGTGCGCATCATAGCAACCAGTCATTCCGCAATTTGGTTGATTTGCATATTAGCCTTTATTATATTCCCTTGACTATGAATATTAAAGTGTTTACTGCTCAATCAAGGTCTAGTGTGACTTTACAGTGAATCCTTTATTATCCTGTAAGGTCGTGGCATAACTGATATTATGTAGAATGGGTAGTTCTCGTTTCTTAACTAGTTGCTCTGCTCTGGCTCGCCCACATTGGTACAGTATCCACCGTCGCTCCTCGTCCTGCCAGGACCAGCCTCCCTCCACTTCCACATGCCTCCTGGGAAAGGAAGCAGAAAGGCTGTCCAGGGCTGTGTTACCCAGTTTCCATCACCCAGTCAAATAGGACCTGCGCACGGCAAGGCTTAGAAACCTTCCCTCAGGACATTCCCCGGGCATTGGAGAGCAACAGTGACCACTTCGTCAGCTGTTTCCGGAGGTTCTTGGGTGAATCAGGCCCCTCCTGCCCGGTCTGTCCAGCAGGTGGGGAAATGGGTAGAAGGCGGAGGAGTTCCATCTCTGCTGCTTCTCCATCAAGTGTGTGTGCCCCAGCCTCATCCCCCTCAGGTCTGTGACCATTGCCTGACCTCGTCCCCCTCGGGTCCTTGTCCATTGCCTGACTTCGGGGCTCAGGTCATCTGACTGAGCTTTTCCGGTTTTGCTCTCTCCTTCCCTGGTGAGGTTTCAGAACATTCTCGGGGTATCTGCTGGCCTTTTCACCCTGGGCCTCTTGTTTTATTTCCCACAAGCTTTCCCCTCTTCTCATTCTTCTTTTCTCCTTTCAGATAAACTTGGGAAGATTTACATGCGTTAGCCATGAAGTAGTCACAGAAATAATTAAAGAAAAGCAAGCAGTAAGAAAATCCAGCCACACAGCAAATTTCTCTTTAATTCCTAGATCCGGGTCCCGTGCTGGGGCTCCAGAAACGAGGGGACAGCAGGGAGGAGAAAATGCCCTCATCCCCATGGATGTCATGGCAGTGAAAGCCCCCAGTCCAGGTGGAAGGAGCCCACTTTGTAAAGGAGCACAAAAACTTGCATAGATATTTCTCCAAAGAAGACATACAAATGGCCGATAAGCACACACACACACACACAACGTGCGCGCAACATCATTAGTCAGCAGGGAAACCCAAATAAAACCACACTGAGATATCACTTCACACCCACTAGACTGGCTGGAAATTAAAACAAAACAAAACAAAACAAAACAAAAACAACCGAAAATAACCAGTCTTGGCCAGGACGTGGAGTCCTCGCGCATTGCCGGTAGAAATGTAAAATGGTGCGGTTGCTGTGGAGAACAGTCTGGAGAGTTCCCGGTGAGGTAGACAGAACTCCCATGTGAGCAATTCTACTCCTAAGTGTATGCCCAAAAGCATTAAAACAGGGGCTCAGGCAGAAACCTGGACATGAATATTCATAGCAGCATTACTTGCAAGAACTACCAGGTGGAAACAACCCAAATGCCCACTGATGAGTGGGTAAATGAATGTA